ACATTCTCCCCTCAGGTACTTGAACATGTTGATCAAATCTCCTCTCAATCTTCTCTTCTCCAGGCTGAACAGGCCCCGCTCGCTCAGTCTCTCCTCACACGACGGCTGCTCCAGTCCCTCCATCACCTTCGTGGCCCTGCGCTGGCCCCTCTCTAGCAGCTCCACGTCCCTCTTGTCCTGGGGAGCCCAGAGCTGTCCCCAGGGCTCCAGGTGCCTCCCCAGGGCTGAGCAGAGGGGCAGGATCCCCTCCCTGGCCCTGCTGCCAACGCTCCTCCTGCTGCAGCCAGGAGCCCATTGGCCTTCTTGGCCACCAGGGCACGTTGCTGCCTCAAGGACAACTTGGTGTCACCCAGGATTCCCAAATCCCCTCTCACAGAGCTGCTTTCCAGCAGATCAACCCCTAATCTAACCACATGGATTGTGATAAACTACTCCTTCCTGAAGGGACATACAGCAGCCACCACGTAACTCCTGAGATTTTGCCTGAAATTTTGCCCCCTGCCCATACAATTAACACCACGTACCTGTTTGATGGATTCGGTGACTAAGCACCCAACTATCATCTTCTCATTGGACACAAACAGATACATTTTGGTCTTGGCTGGGCAGTTCAGCCTAACTTGCTTAAATCCTAGTTCGTTATCGACTATTTCCCGCACCTCTTCTGCCTAAAGAAAACAAGCACAGAGTTATGCGAGCACCCAGTGTGCACATTCTTCGACTTGGGGTGAATCCTGCCAGAAATGGGGTTTGTTCCCCCAATATAATTCAGTGGTGGCCCAAGGCAAGGCCTCATGGTGCAGCTGCAGGATGCTTTGCACCTCCCTATGACACCAGGGTTCGTGCTGCCCATGTTGCTACTCCTGCATTTCAGTGCCTACTATTTAGGAATAGCTTCTTCAGAAGCAGTTTTTAATCAGGGGGCTTAACAAGAAACCCTGTAGCACAGCAACGACCTCCTTGTACACGGGCAAATTACAGCACAGGTGTCCAAAACCTGCTTTTCTCCACAAAGCCTGTCTAAAAGGAGTCTCTGCAGTTACAAAGAAGTTCCTTGGACAATGTGCTTAACTGTCCTTGCCCTGGCGTGCACAGCAGGGTTTTCCAGCTTGTGCTGCACTGAGCTGATGACACCAATTGGATTGGGCAGAGCGTCTCCATCATTGTCCTCGTGCTGCTCCATACTCCATCCCACCCCAGCCCTCCAGCTGCTCATCCCATTCCTTCCTGCAGCAATTTCAGTGCCAGGTAACAGGTTATTCACTCCCTTCAAACAAGGGCATCTCTACAAAAGCCACAGCAACTGCCCTCGTGAATAAACAAACGCTCAGGGAGAGCAAGTGGCTCCTATCTCAGCATCAAGGAGCTAAAGCAACTGCAGATCCCTCCTCCTCGCTGCAGCAGAGATCAGGTTATGTTGGGCATTTAAGGGTAAGAGGTTGGGTGCTGGGAGCAGAGCTGCTGTCCCTCTCCAGGGCAACAAGGCCAAAACAACCTGGATTGCTCCGGTCCAAGCCGTCACGCTCCCACCCAGCGCTCCTATTCCCTCCTGTGCACTGGCAAGCAACCCATGGTCATGCACACTGAGGTAGTCTGTGGAGCTGAGCCAGCAGAAAGCTAACCCAGGACAAGCCCGGGCTGAGAAACGGCACCTTCTTCACTGCGTATTTTGGGTCGTCTGGAAGAATCAGTACAATTTTCCCATCCCAGAACTCTGCCACAACCCGCTCTTTCTTCCAGCCCTGCCAAGGGAAAAAAAAAAAGAGAAACAAAAAGAAACAAAAACAAACAAGTCAGTGATCCAGCAAGAGAGAGAAAGTGATTCAGTGAAAACTTTGGCAGATGAAGGTGTAATTTGAACCACTTCAGTTTGCAGGAAGAAAGTCAAGTCACATTTATCAACGTGATGAACAGAGACAGTTGTTGGGATTGCATATAACACATTTCAACCTCCCCTTTGGACAACAAATCCTGTTGTGCAGCTGCCTTCACTTTGTACCTGAATAACACGCACAACTTCCTCCGCTGTCCCTTAGCTCCCATGCAAATGCAACCTTTGCCTCACCACATATCTGAGTCCCTCGAGGAATCTGTCGTGGTGCTGGATGTGCTGGGCTTCATCCTCCGGGCTAGCAGCTGTGTAGATCATGCCGCACGACTTGCAAATAACAGCCCCAAAATGCTTCTGCCCAGCATCCTGGAGAGAAACAGGGTCAGCTAAGCAGCAGCACCGAGCAGCTGTTCAAACAAATAACCGGCTTAGGAATTAGGTGAAGAGTTAGGTATAGGAGCAACTAAAGACTCAAATATTTGGTTTCATTTGAATTTGAAAAGAGAACACGCTACTGCTTATTTGCAGAATGTTTTAAACTATGCAACATTTCCTTACTTGAGGCATTATGATAAATCTGCTACTTTGAACAAGAACAAGCCTTGCAATCGGTACAGCAAAAACCTTGGAATAAATAAACAGGTAACTTGTAAAAAAAAGACCATTGTTTTGCTTATCTGGAAAACAAAAATGCCCTGCTTTGTCAGGGCACAAGGAGGGGAAAAGAAGGCACTAAATGTCACTAAATGAGGGGTATCCTGTAACTTCCTGCAAGTGATTTCAGGCAACAACAGAACAGCTGCTTAACAGGCAACCATGAATAGACCTAAGTTTCAGGCTAAACTCTTAGTTACAAATGATTCAAGGAGAAAAACAGAAAAAAAAGAGAAAACAAAGAGAGGGAGAGGGAAGAAAGCACATTCCTG